TTACAAAAAAACAGAACCACAATAAAATCCGTATCATACAAGTTGCTAAATAATAGATTATGTTTACGGTAACTGAACACAATGCACTTTTCTATAACTGTCTTCATTTTGACATTTTCACTCCGGTCAGTTCACCTCAGAAGGAACGTTGGTCTGAGTAATGGCAATGTCCTCCTTTTAAAAGATAAAATTAGGTTCATGGGTATTACCTCACCCTTTTTCACCCTTACCAAGATAGAGAATAATGTCACACACAGGATAAAAAAAAATAGGCACATTTGATTTGTGGCATATGCGTAAACATATGTTACTGGCAACATAAGTTACTTTTATGAAGTTAATTCAAAAGATTTTGATTAAATTAAAAAAAAAAAACTAGGGAGGTGAGAACTCTCAATCATGAATCCATTAGTTTTTTAATACTTGTTATAAATGTACTATTGACAAATTAATACAAAAAATAGAAACAAAAAATACAAAATAGAGATCAGATAAATATAAAATGATTTTCATTCTTTAAGTGTTTGTGTACAATTTAGTTTATGTCTACATTAACCCCTACATATATAAGATTATCACTATTTCGTTACTGTAAAATTTTAATCTATTACTTTGTCAAAAGCCTTCTTACACATTGAGATTGACTCAGTTGTTACATAGAATTCTGTGATCCCATAAAAGGTCCTGCAAATGCTGTTTTAATGACCTAATTCTATGTTTTTCAACACTGTCTTGGCCAAAGATTTCTGCAATACATTATGGTCTGTCTAAAAGGCATGCATAAATCAAATTTAAACCCAGTATAAAAATAACCGGAGTACTTAAAATATTGCTGATCAGAAATGGAAACATTTTCAAACATTAAGTTGATGAATAACACAATAGGCTATTCATCATGGCAACTGGGCCATTTTTTTTATTTTTTTTTACATCCTGTCCTTCTCCTAAATTAATGCTGCTCAAATGGCTACTTAGTACACCCACATCTTACAGACCAGAAAAAACTTTCAATGGTTTCACTCAGTCCTGTTTGAATTCAATCAGAGAGTGATTAGAGAAACCATGGCTTACTGTCAACAAAGCTAACATTCTCTTCTGTACCATATACTTTTCCACATATGGCATAATATGTCACAACAAAATGAATAGCAAGTTTCATGAATTATACTATATCTTGTACACTAAAGCCATAGGTAGCACCATTCATTTAGTAAGAAATAGAACATTTTGTTACTTGACATGGACAACCTGCAACCCTACATCTGAAAATGGGCTACACCTTAATTTATCCTTAGCCTGCTCTAACTGATGATACTTTTTCCTAGCCGTCTGATGAAAGGCCACAGTTTAACCACACCTGTTCAATAATCTTGATAGGGTGACCTTCTCTTCATTTGCCTAGGTCTTTGACGGTTTTTAACACTCTGAAGAAAAATTGTCTGAAAAATGTCCTATCCATCCTTTATTGCCTTTGTACTTTGCTTTGTTGTACCTAAGTTACTCTGTCATTCTGTCTGACGTGATATGCATCAGGGTCACCCAATATCTGCATGTACACAAGTACTATACATGATGATAGGTTTTAATAACTTCTCTACATCCTCAAGTAACATGAATTTTATATCCATTTTCCTCTTTTTTTCTTTTCAATTATTTATTGTCTAATGAAGAACTTCCTACTAGTAACTGAACCTGCAATTATTGATTGAATGTGTATTGTCTCATCTTAAAACCTTTAATATCTCTGAAATAACGTATAGGTATAAGTCTGAACAGGGTATTCCAAATTTCATGACTTTTTTTTAAATGCAACTGTGTGAATTGGGGTACAAACAGATTGCTTAAAATGGGATTGTCCAACAAGAGTTTTAACAGCCACAAAAATGTTCTGTGCATTTCCAGAATGGATTTATTAGGGACTGGCCTGCCACCATTTTCGTTTCGACAGTATACAGCCCTACCAATGGAACAATTTTCAATTACAGTCATAAATTCCTAGCTCCATATTTATATTTAATAATTTGGATTGGTCAGTGTGTGTCCCTCCATACTTGTTGATGTATTTCAGGTTATTTTTGAACCTGTCATTGTTTGTGATTGTAGTAAATTTGTGCTAATGTGTGTTGGATATGGACGGGGTATTGTATGTTGGATATCTCAGTGTGTTGTATGGTTTGTAAGGCTGAACAATGTACGTTGGCTTACGTAGTATGTGCCAATCATCTGTTAAGAACATTATATTTGTTTACCAATATGTTTCCTTTGGACTGCAATGTGGCAGCATGCTGGTGACCCACTCATTGCCCAGTTGTGATGTTTACCATTCATAATAACCGGTGTATTAGTGGAAGAACAGATTTCTTGTTTATGACCCTTTTCTCATTGGACTATAACCTCCAAACCTCTATTTTTATGATGACTCTAGGTTTGGACTAGAATATGTTATTAGTGTTTGTTAATTTATTTTGAAGAGAAATTTACTTTTCTTGAAATTCTGTTAATCGTATACATTTTCTTGTGTATTAAATTATTGCTGCCAGTAGCTATATGGCCCTGGGAGAGCTTTTTCTAGAACTGATGTTCCAGTCTTCATCATAAAACTAATAGGGTTTGGGTGTGTTGCCAGGCATGACACCATTGTTGCAGTGCTATGAAAATAAGGGGAGTCTTACTTCATTTACAGGGTTTCTAATTGTAAACGTATGTTCCCTGCTGTTAATGGAGCCTTCATTACTATGTGTATCCCCAAGTAAATGTGTGACATGGTTCATGTTATTTTAAATTCTCAGTGTGGGTGCTGCTTGACAGCCATTTATCTTCCCTTATGCCTCAGAACCCCACGGCTTTAATAGGAATCCACGACCATACGTAAGACGGATCGACAAAAATAGTCCAATGGGTATATTTAAAGTTCTGTTATATCCAGTAATGAGGGCAACATTATTTTGTTTACCCTAGAAAGCCCTTAAAATTCTTAAAAATACTTATTGTAATATCTGCCTTTTTACCCAGCACATGTGGAAATACATATTGATCCCATAAAATAAATGATCCTATTTAATGTTTTAACTGACTGGTACTGTATGTTCACAATGATATATAGTAAAATTATAATAATGATACATAGCACTTGTACTTTCTCTGATATCCTGCGTGGGCTTAAACTGATTCGCTTAACTTAAAAAAAATAAAAAATCAGATTAAGTAAATATGCAACAACTCAGCAAAATAATATTGAGCCAAATCAAATCTCTTCACTTCTCAAACCATAGCTGTTTTCACTGATGCACCTTGGCATTTGATTTTTTTTAATTTCACAGAAACAAATATTTAACATTTGATATAAGCTGATTTGACGGTACAGCCACTCTGCAAAATACTCTTCTGTGAAATGATAAGACATTAAAGAAAACGAGGAAAGAAATAACTTTTCATGTTATGTACTAAAATCATGTAACATTCAGTCATTCCATTAAAACATTGCTTGTGTGTGTAGGCGGCCATTTTGTCTCCCTAATGAAATCAGAGCATTTCTACAGGGATGTCTAGTATAACAGTACACATCATAACAAAATGGTTGTCAAGAAAAATTTGTGTCACAGGGTAATACTCCTGATTTTTATTGAGTCTTCAGAACTGTTGCGGGAAGAAATTATAAATCTTTTGGAAACATTTCTATTCCCTGCAAAATGAACAAAAAAAAACAACATTTCAAAGTAAAATCTGGTGTTATAAATATGACATATTCCCATTGTCTTTCTGAACTGTAACACATTTGCTGTACATTCCTCTTTTTTTAAGGCGTGTTATCTGTAAATTAAAGACAAATGTGTAGTGATATCATTCTGTAACTTTTAAGGAAAAATGATTTTTTTTTTACTTTGAATTAAGTTATTTATGTTGGGGATGTGCTGAGAAAGCAGATTTTCTTTCTGCATACCTCGGTAACTAGCCTCTCTGTCTCTCTTTCTTTTTTTTTTAAGCAAAATACTTTACATTTTATTTTGGGAAAGTTTGAGTTAATTTAAATTGTGGTTGAAGCAATAGATCATTGAAATATGGATTGTGCATGACTGTGTCTTGAGTGTAAAAAATATTGCAGTTTGAAACTTGGACCTGCAGTATTGTGAATAAAACTTAGAAATATATGTTTGTGGTCTGATTTTAATAATTCCACTAAACTTGTCTATGGAGGGGCAGATAATCAAGACAGCCAGTTGGCATGTAGAACATGGTGAGTTCAGTGGGCAATACTGCTCCTATAATACATCTCCAATAGTGTTATATACAAAATAAAACATATGGGTTTTATTCTTAATCCACATGCCTAGATTGGCATATTTTTCCTTAAAAGAAGCTGATAAATATACACATGTAAAACAAAGGATTTTAGCAATGTACTATTAAGATAAATCCCAATTAGAAAAAAGCCATGTAACTCATATGGTATTTTTGTTTTTGGTTTCCTAATCACATCCTATTAGCCATCTTAGAAAACGCTAAAGATTTTTAATGGTGCATGTATGATAAACCAGAATCTAATACGATTTAAAAGTATGTACAAAATAGTGTAAGGATTACTCCAAGCACCATGACAACTTCAGTGATACAAATAGTCATGGTGCCCAGAGTCTGGGGTGTCATCAGAAAACTATTCTGGCCTGTCTGTCAAATCTGTGCAACTCTTATTGCCCAGAATTGAATGAATTGCGTTGGCTGAGGCTGTTGTGTCTCTGCAGAAGCTGGGAGTGTGACACTGGATCACTAGGGAGCGTTGAAGCCCGGGTAAAGACAAGTTTGGAAATGCAATTTTTTTTTTTTAAATTTGTTTTTCATTTTTATTAATCATACAAAATAGTTTTTGAATTTTGAATACATACAACAAAAGTGGTTACAACAGTATATGCACTGCACACAGTAATTCTGTTATTTTGAATATTTTCACTGACTAAACATGAAGGAATATTAAGTTGGATAACTGTGCTTGCACAGATTATGGCTTAGTTATCTGATCCACACAATGCCAGCAGAATGGTTTCATAGTCTCCTTTTACTTTTTCATCCAAAATAGCCTGACGCAGAGATTTTCCGTAGAGACGACCATAATGCACTTTAATTTCCTTTAGGCCGATTTCGGATCGAGAAACAAGGAGCCTAATTAAGGCCTTGTATCTTGTTCTAGATCCCTTCACTGCGAGGTAGAATTTTTCAGCAAAATAAGCAGGTATACTCCCAACACATTTAGAAATAGACATGAGACAGTTTTAGATATCTCCTTTCAACTACAGATCAATAGCTTTGTTTATGTCATTCTTGCTGTATTGTGAATATGTTCGGAATACTTCTCGAAGATGTGGTAAGCTCCTAATGTGGTAGGGTAGAATATTAATGAACGTTGAGACATCTGTTCCTTTTCTCTTCTCTCCAGCTTCATGCAAAGCCCTTGCATCATTGTCGGCTTGCTCGTCATTAACCGTAGTTGCTTCACTGCCTTCGCTCTTTATGAGTGCAAGAAGAGCCTTTTGGAAGTCTTCAGAGGTGTCTGATGCAACATATTTTGCTAGATCCTTCTTGAATTCTACTTTGTAAACTTTGTTAATTTCTCGGATCTCCCGATTACTCCTTAATACCAGATTTCCTATTAAACAGTCCTTATCTGTCCCAAGACCCTTGGTTGCACCCTTCAACTCATGAGCATTAAATTGAGCTGGGGTCTTCATCATACCGAGCACAACTTCTTCCAGATGGCTCTTAAGGGCTTTCTTTAAAGCTTCCCCTAGAGCAGTGATGGCGAACCTTTTTGAGCCCGAGTGCCCAAACCGCAATACATGCCAACTTTTCTTTCCTCAAAGTGCCAACATGGCAATTAAACCTGAATACTGAGGTTTAAGTTTAGAAAAAAACTACTCGTACAGTTGTCCGAACTAATTAACAACTTTTGTATTAAAAGAAGAACACAACAGAGAGTTCAATTATGCAAATTTTAAATTATGATATAAATAGATAAAATTAAGCTTATATTTATTAGTATCTCCAACAAATGCAATACACACACACACACACACACAGACTGCTGAACACATACACACACCGGCTGCTAAATACATACACACACCGTCCGCTAAATACATACACACACCGTCCACTAAATGCATACACACACCGTCCACTAAATACACACGCAGTCCGCTAAATACACATACACACAGACTGCTGAATACACACAGACTGCTAAATACATACACTGCTGAATACATACACTGCTGAGTACACACACACACTCACAGACTGCTGAGTACATACACACACCTAGACTGCTGAATACACACACTGCTAAGTACACACAGTCTGCTGAATACATACACACACACACACACACACACACACACAGTCTGCTGAATACATACACTGCTGAATACACACACACAGTCTGCTGAATACATACAATGCTTAGTACACACACACACACACAGACTGCTGAGTACATACACACGTACACACAGACTGCTGAATCACACACACTGCTGAGTACACACACAAAGAGACTGCTGAATATACACACACACACAGACTGCTGAGTACACACAGTCTGCTTAATACATACACACACACACAGACTGCTGAATACACACATACATACTGCATTGAGGGGTGCAGTTTAAGTGTTTGTGTGTAAGGGTGTGGAGTGCTGTGTGTGTGTCTGAGGGGTACTGTGTGTGGGGGGTGCTGTGTGTGTGGTGGGTAGGGGAGGTGGGGTAGGGGTTAGGGGTGCTGTGTTGTGTGGCGGTTAGGGGTGCTATGCTTGGGGGGTAGGTGTGCTGTGTGGGGGGTAAGGGTGCTGTGCTTGGGGGGTAGGTGTGCTGTGTGGGGGGGTAAGGGTGCTGTGTGGGGGTGGGTAAGGGGTGCTGTGCTGTGCTGTGTGGGGTAGGGGTAAAGATACATTTAAAAAAAAAAAGTTTTATTAATTCTGTATCCCCCCTCCCTTCCGCTTACCTTTGGTGAAGGAGGGGGGACACAGCCATCCCTGGTGGTAAGTATTGTAGGAAGCAGCTCTCCTATCCTCTCGCGCGATGCTGTGTGGAGCATTGCCATGGTAACACGCGGCAATGCTCCACACAGCATTGCGCGGGAGGACAGGAGAGCTGCTTCCTAGAGCCCTCCCCCTGCCTCCCTCCCCCTGCATTAAATTTAGGATCTGCCTTTACCTGACCTCCAGCTTTCTGGGCGGTACATGGTGGATGTCCTCCTTGTTCAGTGAAGTTGACTTGTGCGAGGAAAGCTTGCATAAAAGACATGATGAGCCAGGATTCCTTTAGGTTATTTAGGAAGAGACACTTGTGTTATCTAGACTGGAAACTGGAATGAATTGGGTTGGCTGAGGCTTTTGTGTCTCTGCAGAAGCTGGGAGTATGACACTGGAGTACTAGGGAGGATTGAAGCCCGGGTACAAGTTTGGAAATCCACGTTTTCATGCATAAAATGTTGAAGCTTAATAATCAAGAAAAAAATAAGAGGGATGGAACAGCGCTATCCAAACTGATCACAACGGGGAGGGGGAGGCTGCACACCTGAAAGGAAGGGTAACCCTCAAAACTCTTCAAAGGACTGGAAAAACAGGAAACAACAATTACAGGGTGTGCCAAGAACAAAGTAAATAAATAAAATGGATAAAATTAAAAAAAATACCAGGGAAACAGGCAAATTAAAGTCTCTTATTCACAGGTATATTCTTAAATTCTCAGGACGTCTTGGGTCAAGTTTTCATCAGCATATATGAAAGAGAAAAAAAAAAACATACAGAGGGGACCAATGGTGCAGTAACGTAAAGGAGTATGGCCACAGACAACACTGAGATTAAAAAATGCCAACTCACATTTGTGTGAGCTATAACCAGCTCGAGTAAAACAGCATACAGTGGTATTTAAACTCCCCACATGTAGGATATTCCTCTCACAAGATTTTCAGTGCAAGTTATATGAAATAAATACACAGGAGTGCTCTGTATATTAAAAAAGTGCTGCATAAAATAAGAGATGTACTTACAATTTACAGAGCAGACAAACCGCTCTGTGTAAAGCGCCTGGGTGGTACGATCCCCACCATGGATTCTTTGGATGATATAAAAGCTTCAGATGTTTAGGATATGCCAGGTAAAAAAATAAGGATAAATATAAAAGTATTTAAAATAGTCAGAAAAAATACTTTTATTTAGATTAAAATAAAATGTTGAAGCCCTGACAAGATAATGTAAATAGAATCAGCAGCTTAGGTTTTGTTTAGGCGCAATAATAGAGGCATAGGTCAAACAATCACCCAGCAAGCATTGTAATTTGTGACATATGGCTGTGGACAATGAATTTTAAATGTTACAACTTCTCAACCTGTGGTATATGTGCAACAAAGGATATTTCTGACAAGGCAAGAAGGTAATACATGATCTATCTCTTTTAGAAACGGAGTGGATGAAAAATATTTGCTGCTATAATTATCTTAAAATCAAACAAACAATTCTGTTGTATGTTGATAATTCCCAAATCTTCTTAAAGCTAAATGCTAAGTAAATGTTACCTTTAACCACAAAATCAGTCTTTAAATCATATTAAAGGACTATGCTAAGCATTAAAGCCACGTTAGCTTAATGAAGCAGTTTTAGTGCATAGATTGTGCCCCTGTAGTCTCACTGCTTAATTCTCTGCCATTTCGGAGTAAAATCCTTTTGTTAATGCAGCCCTAGTCACACCTCCCGTGGCTTAGACTTACACAGCCAACATAAAATTTTTTTTTCATTTTCAAGCAGAATTTACAAAACAGTGTGTTTAAATTTGGGAGCGTCCAGTGTCTCCATGCATCTTTATGGGGCGTGTTCAGTGTCTCCACACAGAGTGTGTGCATATATTTTCCCAAAAAAGGGGTTTGGGGGTGGTTGCAGAGTGAGATACAAAAAAAAAAATACTTTTCCACTCCAGGTGCCATGTAAGTACACCTGTGCGTGCAGAATTTATTTTACACTATTATGAAAACTCTTTTTGTGTTTTTTCCAAGCTATAAAGGTGTGATTATTATAATATTGTCACCCTTAATAAGACCGGGATGAGTGGTCTGCAATGGCGGGACGTAGCCCGTGTATGGGAGGTGTGGTAGCCTCAATATGTATAATCCAAGGGGGTCACTGTTATATGGCATTGCATTGTGGAGTTTTGGCAGCACTGTGAGCTCTCCTTCCCGGCTCAGGGAAGGGCGTACGGATCACCCCAGTTGTAGCATAGAGGTGCCGAAATACGTGCATCTAGTGCGCCTTGGTCTGTGCATACAGTGACAGAGTGTACTCTGTAGGTTGAAGCCCTTGAAAGGGTGCGGGGGGTCACCCTGTCAGAAGGGGGTACCCCTATGCATGTATGCCACTAGCACCAGAGTAAGACTCGCCTGGGGGTCACCCAGCATAGGGGGTCACCCCTGTATATGTATATCCCTTAGGACAGGTGCCAGACTAGCTTGGAGGTCACCCAGCGTGGGGGGGTCACCCCTGTATAAGTATGTCACTAGGACAGGTGTCAAACTCGCTTGGGGTTCATCCAGCGTAGGTGGGTCACCCCTGTATAAGTATGTCACTTAGGACAGGTGCCAGACTCGCTTGGGGGTCACCCAGCGTAGGGGGGGGGTTAACCCTGTTATATATTCAAATATGTGCATCCACAACTGGATCCTGATTAATGTATCCGTATGGAGGGGGATTATACCCTTGTAGATGGAAATTCTAGTGGAATTAGGAGGGCTGGACACTAGTAAACAGCTTCTAATCCACAATCCTGAAGACTGAGTGTGAGTACTACTATGTGCACACATTGGGTAAGCATTAGTTAACATTCATGCACAGAAGCTGTGTGGAGAAATATATGCCCATTGGAGATTATAGTAGATATACATGGAGAGCTGCATAAAGAATAATGCCAATTCATGGGAATCACGAACTGGCGAAACAAAATGGCCGACGTAAATCTCGTGGTTTCGCGAGATTCAAGCTGTCCGACGTTTGCGCGCAAATGTGCCATGCAGTATGGTAAAACGTCCCCCCCGCCCCTTCCCACCCCCAGTACCCTTGTCTGAAGTCCCAGAACCAGCAAAAAAGAAAAAACGCGATCGCGATCCGCGTGAGGTAGTGACAGGGAGGGGAACCAGAACCAGCAGACATAACATACAAAGGTTATAATATAGTATCGTATGGAGGGTAGAGCAGGGAGAGAGAACAGGGGATGAATGTAATAAGTGTTTAAATAAAGTGACAAATGCAATATGAATAAACACAGTCTGGTGCAAACTGAAAGTCAAGCAATGAATGGTTAACTAAAGTGACCATTGCAATATCAATAAAAACAGTTTGGAGCAAAATACTCTGACCTGTGCCTTGGCAGGAGCAGCAAAGCAAGAGGAAGTCATGTGTCTGTCAGGTCTTTATATATGGATGTGATACCTGTTACTGATTGGTTTAAAAGTTTTTTGATTGACTTGTGCTGCTGGAGGCATGAAATAAAGAAAGTTATGCAAAATATGAAGCCTCCTGTCATGTGATCAAATCTGGTGCCAGGAGTGCCCTAGTGTCCCCCAAGGTACAACATTGAATGCATGTATTAATTTTATCTTAATAGGACTTTAAAACTTTCATCTATAGGTTATTGTCTGTGATTAGCTAATCTCTCATGTTTGTTCCAATGCAATGTAGAACTTGTTTCTATGTAGAACTTATTTCTATGGTCTTTGTTTACATCCTTTTACCACTTGTTCATGAGTATGATACAGGAAAAGTGTCTTCCTACTTAAAAACTGCATTTTATAGTACTGCACTTATTGTATGAGAAAACATTTGACAGTAAGTGATACAATATTTATTTAAAAAGTGACTAGTGCTTTACATGGTGCATAAAGTGCTCTATGGAAGATCATTTTGAGCACCATAACTATATAGCTGTAGTGATTATGGTGCTCTGTGTACCATCGTGCCACCCCATGGTAAAATGTCACATTATTTTAGTATAGTATGAGCTGCATTCTCATGGGCACCCACATCCCATCTGTTCTTCTATAAGTGAAGCTGGTTGTCTCTGTGGACTAAAACACGACCAATGCAGGATCACACTCTCAGCCAATATATGGTCCTGCTTTGCTCTATCAAGCAGTCTGGCTTCTTTGACTAAATAAGACTAGATGTGGTAGATTTGGGTGGTTGGTATCCCAACAAGACCAAAGTATATTGCCAAGCCATAGTAAAATGGTTCAACATATTACTAGGAGATGACTCCAGCACACGCTACAGCAGGATAGCTTGGGGCGTTTGTGTTCCTTTAAATCTTTCATCACAGATGACTTTTTAGTATTATTTTATTAAAATTAATTTGCTTTAAATGAAGGAGACAATTCACCTGAAAAGGAAGTTGGAGAGAACGGGAAGAAACTGTGTCCTCTGGTGTTTTTAGCCAATCAGAATCCATGTAAAATTCCAATTGAATCATTAAAATGCAAGCTTACTGAAGCAATTACAGCAAAATATGATACACAAATGTTTCATGATTTTTATGTTATCTACTATTGAGTAGGCTTGATGGCATACATCATCTGTTCAGTTGCTAATTTTTGTAGTTTTGTAAATTATGTTTTAGAATAAGAGTTAGTGCAGGAGTTATTGGAGAGCAATATTTCAAGAGACTGAATGGGTTAATTAAATATGAGTGCAATAATTAATAATACAAATAATGTAACTTCAAGCTACTAGAAGAATCAGACCCTTCTTATTGTGATGGTTCCATTTTACCTTACCCCAGTACATGCTATCAATCATTTCAGGGTTTTTTAGTTCCTAAAAACACACCTGTGTGGAGGTCGTTTCCCCATGATGCTGTATGCAGAGAAGCATGCATGGGACTTAACTCATCATTATCAAATGCCAGGCTGTGCCAACGCTGTTTTGTTTTTGATACAAAGTGTTTTGTAATGTTATTTTTATAAATTAATAACTTACATTCACTTATCTTAACATCATTAAACAAAATGTATTTTTTTTTTCTTTTTTTCTTTAAGAAAATATGTAACCTGATATTAGTTGCAATATACCTTGGAGACACTCAGTTTCCAAATTTTAATAGACAGTAAAAGATTAATCTGGGGTCCACAATAGACCATGGTACCAAAAACTTATTGTTATGTAAATGTGCATAGTGGTTTGGGATAGTGCAAGGTAACTTTTTTTAAAATTTGTACTATGTATCTGGGCTTAAGAACACTATAGCCATCGCTATCGCCCAAGATTAGTGGGAGTTTGAGTCCAGGGTTTAATTTTGTGTGTTTGCACTTACTGGATTAGACCATGCCTCATGGAAAATCTATTATTTCACACAACCATTGGAAGATGGGGCATATAAGATAAGCACTGACACACTGAATAATCCTTTTTTTTTTGTCTTGGGAAAATAAACTGAATTCTGAGATTTATCAGGCAGTGCTTTATGCTTTAACGCTGGTTGGTTGAACAACTGACAGATAATACAGGGACCACAGTATCAGATCATAGGATAATAAAAAATTAAATGAAGCATACACAGTTTTTTTTTTTAATCAATTCTGGTTTCTAAACATAAAACCGCAATGTTTCATGACAAAGATTAAAATAAACATGAAGCATGAAGGTTATTTCGTACTGTAAAAATATGTCAATGAATGTTAATTAACAGCATTATTGTTCCATATTTAAAACACAATTGCATATTCCACTATGGATAATAGCTGCTATGTGCACCACCTACATATATAACTCTCTAGGGCTTGTGCATGCAGCAGAGCTCACGTCATCCATACAGAGATCCTAGACGTTCCTTTGCTCCCAGCTCTGTCTGTGTCTGGAGCACCCTCACACAATTACAGTTCGAGTAGGTCATTGGATGAGACAACCTTGAGATTGATTTGACCTGGCATCTTCTTTGCTTCCTGGCCATCTTTTCCATGCAGCTGGAGACTCAGCTCTTCTTTTGGGTCATTTGGTGACGTAGCCAGAAGCACTTGGCCAAGAAATTGGTCACACATGATATGGCTCTCCCAGACCTAAGCATCAAAGAGGATAAAACATTATTTTACTGTGCTGAACACAGTCTTCACAAGTGCGTCATTCTTGTTCTGAAAGCATGAACCATGGAATACTTTATGAAAAAATATATGTACGAAGGAAATAAAATGTAAGCAATAACACATTATTTTGTTAAAACTTTAGATTAAGAGCAGTGTAGAATAAATAAATCAATATATATTAAAAGGACATGCTATGCACCAAAACCACTTTAACTTAAAGAAAAACTCCATTACAAAAAAACAAACAAAAAGAACCAATGAAGTAGATATACCACTTTTGCAAATGTAATGTTTGCAATAGCGGAAGATCTTGTATCTGCAGATTCTGCAAGCCCTCACATTTTTCCTCTGAACAGATTTTCTGTGGTTCTCAATGATACGTTATATACAAAAGTGCAAAAACAAGTACAAAGTACAGGGTGCACAATTAAAAACACCACTAGACAATGTGATATACTTATATCAAGGAGGACCTTGTCTCTGGTTATCTGTAAAATATAAAACTGTACGTACAGGGAGTGCAGAATTATTAGGTAAGTTGTATTTTTGAGGATTCATTTTATTATTGAACAACAACCATGTTCTCAATGAACCCAAAAACTCATTAATATCAAAAGCTGAATATTTTTGGAAGTAGTTTTTAGTTTGTTTTTAGTTATAGCTATGTTAGGGGGATATCTGTGTGTGCAGGTGACTATTACTGTGCATAATTATTAGGCAACTTAACAAAAAACAAATATATACCCATTTCAATTATTTATTATTACCAGTGAAACCAATATAACATCTCAACATTCACAAATATACATTTCTGACATTCAAAAACAAAACAAAAACAAATCAGTGACCAATATAGCCACCTTTCTTTGCAAGGACACTCAAAAGCCTGCCATCCATGGATTCTGTCAGTGTTTTGATCTGTTCACCATCAACATTGCGTGCAGCAGCAACCACAGCCTCCCAGACACTGTTCAGAGAGGTGTACTGTTTTCCCTCCTTGTAAATCTCACATTTGATGATGGACCACAGGTTCTCAATGGGGTTCAGATCAGGTGAACAAGGAGGCCATGTCATTAGATTTTCTTCTTTTATACCCTTTCTTGCCAGCCACGCTGTGGAGTACTTGGACGCGTGTGATGGAGCATTGTCCTGCATGAAAATCATGTTTTTCTTGAAGGATGCAGACTTCTTCCTGTACCACTGCTTGAAGAAGGTGTCTTCCAGGAACTGGCAGTAGGACTGGGAGTTGAGCTTGACTCCATCCTCAACCCGAAAAGGCCCCACAAGCTCATCTTTGATGATACCAGCCCAAACCAGTACTCCACCTCCACCTTGCTGGCGTCTGAGTCGGACTGGAGCTCTCTGCCCTTTACCAATCCAGCCACGGGCCCATCCATCTGGCCCATCAAGACTCACTCTCATTTCATCAGTCCATAAAACCTTAGAAAAATCAGTCTTGAGATATTTCTTGGCCCAGTCTTGACGTTTCAGCTTGTGTGTCTTGTTCAGTGGTGGTCGTCTTTCAGCCTTTCTTACCTTGGCCATGTCTCTGAGTATTGCACACCTTGTGCTTTTGGGCACTCCAGTGATGTTGCAGCTCTGAAATATGGCCAAACTGGTGGCAAGTGGCATCGTGGCAGCTGCACGCTTGACTTTTCTCAGTTCATGGGCAGTTATTTTGCGCCTTGGTTTTTCCACACGCTTCTTGCGACCCTGTTGACTATTTTGAATGAAACGCTTGATTGTTCGATGATCACGCTTCAGAAGCTTTGCAATTTTAAGAGTGCTGCATCCCTCTGCAAGATATCTCACTATTTTTGACTTTTCTGAGCCTGTCAAGTCCTTCTTTTGACCCATTTTGCCAAAGGAAAGGAAGTTGCCTAATAATTATGCACACCTGATATAGGGTGTTGATGTCATTAGACCACACCCCTTCTCATTACAGAGATGCACATCACCTAATATGCTTAATTGGTAGTAGGCTTTCGAGCCTATACAGCTTGGAGTAAGACAACATGCATAAAGAGGATGATGTGGTCAAAATACTCATTTGCCTAATAATTCTGCACTCCCTGTAGTGTAATACTGTATATGTACAGATATTTAAGTACACAGAGATAATGGGTCACTCACTCTTCCCAGAGCCGCATAAAGCTGGCTCTGGCTGTGATGACGTAGCAGATAAAGTTGCTGGAATGAATCCTGGAATTCTGTTACTCCCAAATATTCTGGAAACTTGAAGGTCTTTCTCAAATGGATTTACTTCAATAAAGTGCAGAAAACAGGATATAGCAGCAGACATAATTAAACATGCCCAAAGTAAAAGCGTTTCAAACCATGTAGGTCTTCCTCGGGTGCATAGTTCCTCATTCCCCGTGTTTGTTGTGCATGTGCTCACATGTCCTTGTTGTCTCCAATATGTGGGCAAGACTTCTAGATTCCTGAAAACAAGGATACCTGAGCATATTTACAAAACAAAGATAAATTTTTCATTATTTGTCTGCTGCTATATCCTGTTTTCTGCACATTATTGACGTAAATCCATTTAAGAAAAGCCTTCACGTTTCTAGAATATTTGTGTGGTGGTGTTTTTAATTGTACACCCTGTACTTTGTACTTGTTTTTGCACTTTATGTAGTGTCTTCTGAGTGATTATTGACACTAGGGTTGCTGCATCTCTCACAATTCAATAGCGCCAATCCACCCATATCCAATTGTTTTTCACTTTTGCTGTCTGTATATACAAAAGTGCTGACTTCTATGGAAATTAGCACTTTTCTAAAATAAAAGAGAACACACTCATCACATATAACAAGCTGAAGTGCTTTATGTCTTTGGAGTGTTCCTTTAACATAATGATTTTGTCCCTGCAGGCTCAGCAGTGTAAACAACACTGCATTCTCTGATAAAAGGCAGTGGTTACATTGCCACCTCTAGTAGCAGTCACTCTGTTCAGCATCTCCATGCTCGGCAAAGAAGACTCCAAATATTCCCCAAATAGGAGGTACCTCTGTGAGGAGATGCTGACTGGTGCATCACAGTGACTGGTGCATCACCTCTCCAATGCTTCACTATGAGGAAGCATTGGATTGGCTGAGATCTTCAGTTGATGATCTCAGCCAGCAGAGGAGTGGCAGCTGTGACGAGAGCAGTATGCCGTTGGAAAAAACCATAAATAAAAATACACATTTGTATTCCCGAAGCTAGAGTATTTAAATAACAAACATTGTATCATCATGTAAATTTATCATGACATAAGTTATCTATAGTTACTGTAATTTTAGTATCACGTGAATAGGTAGTTAGACAGGGAATTAATTGGCCACAAGCGGGGGCTGGTGGTGGACAATGATCTATCTTACCTCTATTACTTATTTTAGTGTACCCACCCAATGCCCACAGGTGGGACATGGAGAGGGACAATTTTTCCCATCTGTTATTTCACAGTCCCCACCCCAATGGGATGGAATCTTTTTGGCTATTTTGTCCACTTGCTCTTTCTGGCTCACTCAGTGTTCTATATTGCTATTGAGATCTATATTGAGATCTTTATATTTTAAAATACAAGACCATTTCCCTTGTGTATGCTTTACTTACAAACTTGACTTTTTTTGTCCCCTCCTTTATCTCCAAGCAGGAATCTGACCTAGGGCAGACGCTGGAGAAGGATGTAATTTTCTCTTATACAGACACTATCACAACCTGTGCCATTATAACAGAGAGCCAATATCTTTACAGTATATCTTTCAGTGGGCATAATCTTCAATGTCCACAGAAATGCCAAATGTATTTGCTTATTTGACTATGAACTGAGTGGAAGATGCACAGATATGTGTTGGGACTTCCTCTTGCTTGAAATTATAGGCACCAGCACAGTTAGAATGA